TGCCCTTCAGTCTCCAAATCATGACCCAAAAAAAGTGCAGGTGAGGTTCAAATGAGTTTTATTAAATTGTGACACAAAACACCTGTTATAACTTCAAGCCTTTACTAAAATGAGGACAGAAATGAGGCCAGAGCACTAAGTGAAAAGAAGCCAATAACAGCAGTTACATCTTAAACATGTCCCAGGTTGTATATTAAGCAGTGATCAAAGGAAACAAAACAACCCCTCCCCACCCCAAAAAATCTATTAAGGAACAATGTTAATTTCACAATTCACATTTGGTTGCTTTTAATCCTGACACCTTGGTCATTTGTGCAGTCCCCAAACACAAGAGAGATTTCTCAAATGGGGAATAAGCATTGTGCCCCTGAGGCCCTAAGTCTCTGTGCAACATTTATGGCAAAGTTTAGGGGACAAGGTCTACCTTCCTGCTGCTTTGACTGAACTCTTCAGATCAGATCTTGTACCACTGATGTAGCACTAGAGAGAGCACAAAGGAGCGCAATATGCTACCACATCAACGGTGCTTTAAACCCCCCCCCAAAAAAAAAATCTCACCAGAATTCTGTTTTCCAACTCAAAAGCACCTCTGTGCTTGAGTCAGAGCTTAGTACTAGAAGCAACATCAGGAATGCTTTGGGATCTAGGGCACACATTCACTGACACTGTTTCAGGTCATAGCGAAACCAGGGGCATGTGGTATTCTGTCCACCATACTCTGACCTAGTCTGGATAAGGCATTACTAAGCAGATGTAGCATACACAAATCCAATTGCTACCATGCATTGGGAGGTGCCCCTCTTTTCACAAAGGTAAACATCAGCAAATGGAGAATTACCATTTAATTCCTGCAAAATGGCACCCTGAGTCACAGAAACAAAGAAGACTTGCATGTTATTAAAGCAACAAGACAACAAATGACCTCCCATTTTAAAACAGGATTTCTGTCCATAGGAGAACCTAGAATAAATAGGGTGTTTCCCATCCAGATTCACAGTCAAGAACCATAAGCTGGGTTCCAGATGGGATTTGTTCTCAGATGGTACCATCCATCATGACACTTGAGGCTCTGTGATTTTGTTTTCTATAAAAATACATCATATAAAGAATAAATATACACGCAGTGAGACAACATTGATTTTCACTAGTGAGGGGGTCACTAATGCACACTTACAGAGAAAGAGGAAAGAATGGATTAAGAGGATTATTTGGAATGCAAAATAAGGTTTTTTAAAAGGCAACTGTCAACACTATGGCTTCTAGCATTTAGAGAAAGGAGCGAATGTGGTGGCCAGCGGTTTGTTCCCCTACACAGGGCTTGAAGTATCTTTTTTGGTCCAAACCTGTGATTTCACAGATGTAGCCTAGGATCATGCAGCCAATTATGTTTCTGAGATTGACTTAAACCCAGGGTTTCCCGACTCTGGGAGAATCTCTGGGTGTTATCTACAATGACATGTGGCCGACTCTGGATGACACTGTGGGTGTTATCTAAGATAACATGTTGCCAGTCTGCATTAACTATATTAATCCTTCAGGACTAAAGAAGAAAAAGAAATTTTTAAGGAATTTTACAATAAATAATAAAATACTAAGAAGCAAAACACATTTTCTTATCATCCTTTTGTGGGCCCAGTGGCAGTGTTCAGTGGCTTTGAAACTGAGTCACATTGTCCGAGGCAAGGAGTACACATTAAGAATTCCTAAGATATCATTCTGGCTCGGTGTTTTTCCCTTACTCACTAGGCCCCAGGCCAAATCAGTCAGGTTTTGCCCACGAAGTGGACATAAATAATAAAATATAAGGATATGCCATGGAACTCATTAATGTCTAGAACAGCACTAGAGAAATACTCTATTAATAAGGCTCATGACTTGGAGTACAGTGCAATCAACATTCAATTATCTGCCCTAACCCCTTGCCAAAGGAGTTTTGACAGTTACAGTCCTTGGTCAACCTAAACACTCCATTGAAGTCAATGGTTTCAATCTTTCAACCTCCCAGACATTTTTTACTTCAACAGCTGAAACCCCTTCAACTACAAGGTCAGTTTCACTTCATCTCTCTACTCTCTTTTGTTCTCAGGCAGAAGAAACTAAGGTAGCTGAGCACCCTAAAGAAGGGGAATAAACGGGAGGTAGAGAAGCAGCTTGGACAAAACTCAGAGTGCATAATCAATCCAAAATGACGAAGAGTTGACAGAACCATAGGTTAATTCCCAAAGGTCAATTTTTAAAAATCTCACAATATGGGGAATTAATTCTCATTTCTAATTTTAAAAAGAGTTGTAGGAAACCTTAAGATGGCATTCTAAAAATAATCACGACCCAGGAGCTTCCTGATCTGGTGGGCATTGTCTCCATATATTCCACAGACACAAAGCAGAAGCTTGGAAAAGCACAGTCCAAAAGAGGATCCATTAACCTCACTTTCTCATTGAGGTAACACGGCACCTTTAAAAAAAATTTAATGTCTCAAAGGTAGAAGCAGAGTCACAATATGGGCTTACAATCAAGAACCAGAAATGAAACCGATCAGGGAAACACAGTCCTCAGCTTTGTGCTCTAAGACGCACATCTTAAAACAAACAGATTCAATTCATGACAGCAGAGGAAAGCCTTTCCAACATCTCACTGGCAGATGTATAACCATGATCCCTTTGAAACAGACGGGCTTGTGAAAAGAATGTGGAAATTAAGAATAGTGCAAACATTAAACCTAATTCCCCCACCCCACATTATATTTGAAGGAAAAACATGTATCATAATAGGGGGTGGGAGCTATCGTTGTCACTGTGGGAAAACGGGGCTGATTTTCTGGAACTACTTTGTGGTGGTCTGGTGTCTGATCAACGTGGAATCAAGGGCTATTTAGGATTGGTCACGCTAAAATTACATGGAATAACGTTGGCATAAAGGATTGCACAAACCTACATAGCTCCAGGTTGTCAATCTCTGGATCAGAATTCAAATGACCCCAGAACAGGTTTCATCAATTTCTTCTCTCTTGGGGTTTGTGAGCACTTGCTAAAGGCACTTGTACTCTGGGTTTTAAGCAAGCATGTCTGTAGGTTCTCAAATGCACTACTATTGTGGGAGTCGAGTGGGTATGTGGGTGAAGGCACACACACAGCAGCAGATGGGGAGCTGACCTTGAAGCCAGGAGGGTCTGGGTTAAAGTACTGTCTTTCATACTACATTTCTCTGTGACCTTAAGCAAATCACTTAACTTCTAAGACTGCAGAGTTGAAGAGAAGGGCTGGCTTCACTGGCAGAGGTAGTTTCCTCACCTGGCTACTCCCTAAACCACTGAGATCATTGTCTTATGTGGGAGAAGAGACTCTTCAGTGAGCCTCCCCCCAAAAACGAGGAGAAACCATCAATGTGGGGGACATTACCAGTTTTCTGAGAATTAGCCGTATGCCTGGGAACTGGTAAAGAAATTCAACATCAAAATGAACAGCTAGTACAATTTGGGGGGCAGGGGTCCCTAAACCTGTGATTTCATCTTCTATGGGACTTTGGGTATGGAAACACTCTACCAATTTGGACTGACAATCTATAATCTTATGATTTATTTGGGGCAAAAAGGCTCTTAAGTCTCTGATCTAAAATCACAAAACCAGAAGACAGACCTGAATTCAGGTTCTTTTGACACCAAGGCCAACATTCTATACACCAAGCCATGTTGCCTTCCGATGATAATTTTTTTTTAAAAATAGATTTTTTTTTTTTTTTTACTATCTGTGAACTTCAGGAAGAAAGATCAGGCTATTTTTTTAAATAATAATTTTAAGCATATGGGCGAGTCATTTTTTTTTATTTCTACCTGCAAGTTTTCATTAAACTTCTTATACTAAACATAACTAATAATACTAGTTAGCCACTTTATGTCAACGGAACCAGTAATATTGAGTTAGAGTGTCTCGGCCAAGGTACCTCCAAATGTGGCCTCTCAGACATTACTTTCAAAAGTCCAGAGTTAAAATCTGAGGGAACAAATAATTCCAAAGTTTCCTGGCTGCCCATCTAAGGAGAACAGATGTAGGTATGAGAGATGCTTTCATCTGCCTTCTCGGAAGTAAGCTGGTAGTAGGGCTACCCACTTTTCAGGAGTCTCTTAAAGATCATCTATCCTTTATGCAACTTTCTATGTTCATTTAAGTAGGTCTGAAGCCCCTGTTCTAGAATGTAAGCTCCTTGGGGGCAGGGATTGTTTTTGCCTTTGTTTGAATCTCAAGGGTTTAGCACAGTGCCTGGCACCTAGTAAGCACTTAATAAATGCTTATTAATTAACTGATCTGCAAAAATGTTCCACAGAATAGAGAGACCTTGAAACTCTAGCCTTTTAATATGCACAGTACAAGAATAAGTTGCAGTACCTATGACTCTTCATTGTGGCCACAATCTTTCCAAAAATCTTATACAGCTTTACCAAGACAAAAATGTTTTTTCTAAGTAAATGACCTAGGATTCCGAAAACCTCCCTGGGCACCTCACAGAATACATTGCAGCCAGGAAGGACAAAGGAACAAAGCAACATGGACACAAAAAATATGGCACTGCACCTGCCAATAAAGCACATGATATCCAAAAGAAGAATATAATCTTAAGTTACTTCCTGTTTTAGGCAGAGGAGACTGAATTACATAATACATGTTTTCTTTTCATTAAAAAAATGTCAATGATCTAGCTTTTTAAACAGGCCAGTTTATTTGACAACTGGTAGGCCTTGGCACCTTAGCAATAACAAAAGCTGAGGTGCTAAATCATCAAGTGCTAATGCCACTTTCTGAACACAAATTCTCCATGTTCATATGATTTTCCATTCTTTCAGATGACTCTTGAAATCCACTGATTTTCTTTAACTAGACCAGGAGTCCTTAACCTTGTTGCTGTTTTATTTTTGGGGGTTTTTTTTAGATGCATGCCTTTGGCTGTCTGGTGAAACCTATGGACCCCTTCTCAGAATATTTTTTTTAATGTATAATATAAAATATGTAGGATTGCAAAGGAAACCAATTATATTGGAATACAGTCATCAAAATATTTTTTTTAAAAATTCACAGACCTCCGTTTAAGGATACATCAAACTAAACACTTCCAGGACTTTAGACCGACAACCTTCCAACACAGAGAGGATATGTGTAAGTATGTGCACACACCATGCACACACATACATACACACACACACACACATACATACACACACACACCCCACAAATACTAATAAGAATCTGGGGAGCAATAGGACAAACTCTAAATCATTCTATAGTAAAGCAGGGCTCAATTTTAAAAAAGAAAGAAAACCCAGCAATTCTCTCATCCCATTGCTGAAAGTACCACCAAGAAGCTACATGACCTGAGAAAATGTAGTCCCTAGAAAGGAGGGGCACAAGCATGAGAATTTACAACTCTTGTGCAGACTTGTATTAATTCCAAGATATGCTACCAAGTCATTTTTGTCATTCTCCTTTTCAAATATCATGTATGTGTAATTCATTGCAAAACTAGACTCCAAACTAGAATCTACCTTTGGAATTCTTCCAGTGGGCAAGGAATGGAACCAGCATGAATGACAATGAGCAGTGCTCGGCAGGAAAGACTCTGGAGTCTGGAAGAATAAGACTGAATTGTTACAGGTAACTGTTACACTCCCAAACTGCTGGCTTTTTTAGTGCAAAGAAGTTATAGCTGGGGAGAAATTATAGCTAGCAAGAGCTAATGTCTTCCATCCAACTTTCTTTAAAAAACTATTTTAGAAACAAGGCAGAAGAGGGATAAATGAACCACATCTTTGAGCTCCATTGGGAGCCCACATTCCTTAAACCATCTAAGCTCATCCTTTGATTTACAGATGAGAAAAACAGGTCCCAAGGGGAAGTTGCTTATTTAAAGTCACACAAGAAGAAAGAAAATTAGAAGTAAATAATGAATAAGTGCACTTCCAGTACATAGAGCAGCTGGAAGGTTAGAGACCAAAACTCAATTCTATTTCATTCACAAATGCATAACTAAAGAAGAGTGCAATTGAACTTCTATAAAATAAAATTGGCATCCAGCATTTTTTTTTCCATAGGGTTTTGAAATAAGAAGTCAGGCAAGTTCTTTTGGACACCTCAAACAAAAACTAAATATCCTGACATACAATAGGAGATAGAACTTTCAGATTCATAGAATTAAATCGCCAACATAAGGATATTACATATAGAGACAGACCTTTAGCAGCAAAGGAAAGAACTTACTGGTCAATGAGAAAGAACCAAAAAAAACCCCTCAATTCCTCATTTTTTGAGGCAGAATTATAATGCTGGTTTTTCTTAAAACAAAGATGGAGAGAGAAACCTCTAAGAGGTCACAGAGTTGATCATCCTTCTGTCTGTAGAAAGCATACCTATCCCTCAGTCCCTCTACCATTTTTTTGTAGAAAGCAGGTCTCTTAGCTATCATCCAATTGTCCCCAAGTTCAAGTATTAAATGAAGAAACTACAGTACTCTGAAATTGATCTCATATTCTACTTGAAGGAAAATGGAGAAGGATGAGAACAATTATTAAAAAAAAAAGCTGAGGGGCACATTTAATTGAATAAGCAGCAAAAGGTGAGAGTTGAACAAATGATACAATCTAAAACCAACTTTACAGAGAAATTGTCTTTTAAGGGAACTTTTAGCCTTGGCCCTTTTTATTTGAAAAGAAGCAAAAGGTTAGAAAAAAGCAGCAAAGGTACAGTCTTTCTGAGATATGAAGTAAACAGTTTCACCCAACACTAGAAAGCACTACATTAGGTACCCAAGCACCTACAGAAGAGAAGGGGGGAGCAGTCAGATAGGGAAGAGGAGGTGGCAGGGAGATGCCTAATTCAATGATCAGACATGCACAACATTCTAGAATGATTATAGTCATCCCAGAGAAGACAAAGTATAAAAGGAAAGGTGACCAAACACTGTGCATTTAAATGTAGAAATGCTGAAAATTAAAATACATTTTTTTATCCTTTTAATCCTTTATTTACAGAACAAAATATAATGGGTATCCCTTAGAACATTGAGTAGGTCCAGCCTAGCAAATATAGAGGGTGAGCATGAAATTGTTAATAACATCTGTGAGATAGCCCAAATCTTATAGCTGGGAACTCCCACATAAGTGCGTATTATTACACAACATAATACGATCCTTGGATAGAAAACTGATCAAAATTTTGCCTATTTTCTGAAACAATCATTTGTACACACACTTTACCCTTTTTAAAAAGCTCAGAGGTTAGAGTTGTTTGAACCTCAAAACACCCACAGCACAGCTGAAAACTACATAAAAACAAGCTGATTAGAGTTGAAAAGTATGTATCTATGAAGCAGAAGGTAATGGCAGAGAGGTGGAAGGCAGACAGAGATCAGAAACTGGAAATGAAGCCTGGCCACAAGGAGGGTGGATTAGATGTGTTGGAGTGCAATGAAATTCACACAGTGGGCAGACCCTAGTAGACTCTGAAGCCATTTATACCAATCATCCTAGTCATACTGCACCAAGATGGTAGCCCACATAAAGGCATGGAGAACTGAAACCTACACTTCCCTGCATCTAGTCAATTTCCAAAGCTACTTTCCATACAGTAAGGCCACATGCCTTCTGAAGATTAGCTAAATAAAACTAACCTGAAAACCCATCATGACCCAAAAAGCTCATTCTTTTTGAATCAGATTTTAATGCCTCAAGGTACCATTAGGTTTATAGATATCTACATGGAAGCAGAGGCATGTATTCATGTCAAAAATGGCCACAAAGCAGAACAGGTTGACAGAAGGCAAAAGAAGCAGGCAAGACAAACTGCTTTATCTGAAATGATCAGCAATGGGCTTTGTTATAAGTATCCCAGATTCTCCATCTCATTCCTGTACCGTTGCTCGGACACTTTGCTCTTGTGCTGTTTACTTTCTAAATGCTGCCGAAATTCCATCTCTTCACCAGCCCCGGCATTACACATGGAGCAGTAAAACTGGCCGCTGGGGGTGACACACATGGCAAGGTCACGGGGAATCCACTGTCGAGATCGAGGGCTGAAGTAAGGCCCTATTGAAACAGACACAAAAGGATAAAGGGGAACACAATTGAGATGGCTGGGCAAGGTTTCAGAAGTACATGGTCAATAAACAGAGCCATAAACCATATGTTTGTAAATTCAACTTTAAACTAGACAAAATGTGCAGTGAATTATAATAGCTAGCATTTATATAGTGTGAAAGAGGAGTGTTTAATACAAGTTATTTCCTTTGATCCTTACAACAACCCCGTGAGGTTTTACAGATGAGGAAACTGAGTCTAGGAGAGGTAAAATGTCTTACCCAGGATCACATAACCAGTAAGTGTCCTAGGCAGGATTTGAACTCAGGAGTCTTGTGGACTCCAGGTCCAATACTTTATCCATTATACCATTATATCCAAAACAAAAAAACAAAAAAGCTAGTAAGTGTATGTTTCATGGTAACTCAGTGCGCCTCATTGTTGTATGAAGGTGACCCTGGTTCTACCAAAGGCTTTGCCAGTGAAACACAAGTTCCTTTTGGTTCTATGGAGCTGGCAAAGCTTCCACTAACATCCTAGTTAAAGGCCAATTTCTCCTGCCCACAAACCAACCTAGCCTCCAAATGATGAAGCCTTTAGCCATAGTGACCCAGGAAGCAAAAACACGACATTTTAACAGCTCACGTTCAGAGTGCTCTGCCATTTGCAAAGTGCCTTCCTGACAATAACCCCCGAGTCATGGCTTCACAGTACGTAGTACAAGTATTAACATCCCTCTTCTACAGTCAAGCAAACAAAATTAGAGAGGTTACAGTCACACAGCTATTAAATCAGAAGAATCAGGACTCCGAGTCTGGAGTCCACATCATGACACCAAATTTGCTCCTTGTACAGGACAGAATTACCCAAATTCTTCCTTAAAAGGATACATTTCATCCAATCCTCAAATGTCTTAAATGTTTTATTGCCCTAAACAAACAAAAAGGAAACAGAAGAAAACACTAGAGGACTGATCAAGGACTCTTCTCGCCATCACAAAGAGTTCCTTTTAATTCCTGTAATATTTGCTACCTCCATCTTCCCCTCCCAAAACAAATGCTTCACATTAAAATGGAAAATGCCTAATGACTTGATTTTCTGAACAGATGGGCTCTGGGGGTCATGGAATTCTTCTCCCTGATTAAGCAAACCCATAAGCACGATCCGATGATGAATTATAAGACACAGAAGATAGAGTCTCCCGTCAAGAAAGTAGATGGTAGCAAACAGCCTTCCAGATGGTAAAAATGTTTGTGCAAGGCAGGGTGCCCGGACTTACAAGGGAGCTGGCAGCCACCCATAAGAAGGGGCAGGTCAAAGAGGGAGAGGAGCAGAACTCTTAGTATCCCTAGCTGCTTACCACAACACTTTCCTGTAACAATAGAAACAGCAGTAACCAAGCCAAACCAATCACCTGGTTCCTATGAAAAGAGTGGCAGCCTACCCAGATATCTGCTCCTCTCCAAACTCCCTCAGGGGGACCAAACCTTAAAAGGTTAGAAGGCAAATCTAGACCCAAGATTTTCTTAGCTCGCTTTTTTCCAATATATCATCTGCCTCTATCCTGTCTTCATAAGAATTGAGGATAAGGACTAGACTGCTGATTTCATTGGTTAGAGGTGCTGTGAACATTGAGAATGTGACTTGCCCAGGGTTACATAGCCAGCATGCGTCAGAGGCAGTACTTATAGGCTCATTTTACAAATAAAGAAACTCAGACCAAGATAGGTTAGGTGGTTTACAAAGAGTCACAAAATCAGTATGTATCAGAAGCAAGACCTAAAGGATCACAGATCATAGGATCAGAGATTTAGAGTTTGCCTCAGACCTTTACTAGCTGTGTGACCCTGGGCAAGTCACTTAATACCTTAGCCTCAGTTTCCTTACCTATAAAATGAAGAGATTGGACTTAGTGGCATTTAAGCTCAGATCTTTCCAACTCCATGTCCAGCACTCTGTCCCCTGAACCACCTTGAACACAGGTCTTCCTGGCATTTAAACTAGATCTCTATGCATTGAACAACATTGACTCTTTTTCCTTCTCCAACTCTTAATTTTTTTCTATATCCTTCCCTCTTACTATCCTCACTGTCCCTGCAAAGATGCCATCATTGGAAATCAAGAGCAGTGAGAAATCACTATAAAGCAAAATATCTGAATTCTAAGACAACTAATCAATACTTAAGCATACTGCCTGGTATCCTCTTCAAAGCTGCTGCTTTTAAGATTATCCTTTTACACTGACAACAGTGCCATTGCAAGATACATTTGGGGGAACCTGTCTTTGAGAACTGCTTTTAGTGCCTCTAACCCAGTCAAACATTCTCATTATTTCAGGTATGGGTTCAATTAGTTAGCCACGGAAGCTTCTTCCAACTCTCAAATTCTGTCATTCATCTCTTGAGAATGGTTATGACTTAGGGAAATGGTCAAAGTCATTTGTGGCCAAAGCTGGTGACTCAAGTTGATTTAATACTTTTGAGGAGTCTCAAGAATGAGGCATGGACTCAGAGTCTGACTCCTAAACAGGCTTTGAAAGAAATACCCTCAATACTCTCCAGAACTGTTGAGAGCAATGGTAGGGGCATCTTTGGAACAAAGGCAGAAGTAATTTAAAAGAAACATTCATTACGTTATATTAGAATCTGAGGCTTCCAGAGCTGGGTGGGACCTTCAAGTTCATCTAGCCCCACCCTTTCATTTTACAGATGAGGAAACAGAGACCCTGAGAAAAATGGTGACTGGTTCCTATGCTCATCACCTCTACTTCCTCACCTCCCACTCACTTATCAAAACAGTGCATTTCAAACAGCTCTCTCCCGGATTACTTGTGATTTCCTTAAATATCTAACCCAATTCCATTTTTCTATATCATACACTGTCTGGAATTATACCTTTAATCCATAGATACCATTTTCTAACCATATCTCTAACCCTAATCCTACACGTCTAAACCATGCCTAAAATCACCTTTCATTTAATCTGTAAATACCTTATGTGTATTTATAGTCATTTGTGTCGTCTCCCCTCCCCTGTTAGAATGTGACCTCCATGAGGGCAGGGGCTGCATTTCTGCCTTTCTTTGAATTCTCAGCACTTAAGATAGAGCCTGGCACATAGTAAGTGCTTAATAAATGCTTGTAGACTACTTGCCTGATCCCTGAGCTACTAAAACCACTGGTCTTTCTTCAGTCTTCATCCTTCTTGGCCTCTCTACAGTATCTGATACTGTTGAGCGTGCCCTTCTCCTGGACATTCCCTTCTCCTTAAGCTTTCATGGCACTGCTATCTCTCATCTCTCCTCAGGCTCCTTTGTAGGATCATCATTCACATCCGACCTCCTAAGGACGGATATACCCCTCATCAGGGCTCTGTCTTCTATCTCTTCACCACCTCTCAATGAGTAATCTTACCCACGATCCCATGGGTTCATGATCATTACTTTGCAGATTTCTAGGTCTATATATCCAGCCTTCACATCCATGTGTGTGTGTATCTTCCAGTCACACATTACCAGTTGCCTACCATCTCTACATGTATATCTCCCATGGGCATCTCAAATTTGACATGACAAAAAGGAAGTCATTATGATTTCCCCTAAACAAACCTTTGGGTCCTGACTTCCATCTTTCTGTCCAGGGCACCATCTTTCCAGTCATGCAAGCTGGCCAACTCAAAGTCATCTTAAACTTGTTCTTCTCCCTCGTCCCAAGTGGCCAGTCAGCTGCCAATCCCCTTTGATGCTTACTTGCATCTCTCTTGCATCCATCCCCTTCTCTTTATTCACATATCCTCATCTCCTCTTACCTAGACTACTACAATAGCATAGCAATTGGCCTCTTTGCCCCCAGTTCCCCCATTCCCTATCCAGCTGTCATGTTATTATTCCCAAAGCATTCCCAGACACACTATTCCCAAAGGTTTGAACATGTTACTTCCTTGTTTCAGTGACCCTATTTTCTCCACAACAAAACACAAACTCCTCCGCTGCCCATGCCACCACCATTTACAGCCTACTGTGCATGCTACCATACTAAGTGCCAAAGATCCACACACATGACTTGCTCTCCCACTTGGAAAAAAAAGTATTCAAAATAGAAGTGGAAAGGAATGGACAGACATGAAAGATGGGAATCCCTCAAGCCCTAAGCTATGGCAGAGGTAGAACCAATGTGATTGTGCAACTGACTGGATGCATGAAGTGAATGAATGGAAAGATCAAAGATAACTCTGAGACTGTTTGAATCATTGGAATGACAGTGGGACCCTCAATAGCAACAACAAAGATGTGAGAGGAAGAAGCAAACTTCAGAAGGAACATTTTCAGTTCAGGTTGCATCACGTTGAGTTTGTGGGGCCAACAGGACAGCCAGGTGGAGATAGCTAGCAAGCACTTGAAAAATAAATGAGCTGGGACAGGAGCTCCAAGGAAAAGGTGAGGTGGGGGGTGAGAACAGCCAGAAGGGAGAAAGCTAGACGGAAGATAGAAGAGGCCCTAGAGCAGGCCCTTGAGGGCTATTAGGAGCCAGCTGTTTTAGCCACAAAGATAAGGTTACTTGGACAGTCTCTAAGCTTTGATACTTTACACTTCTGACACTTAGCTAGTCATCCACCCCTCCTAGTCAAACAGCCAGGAAAACAGAAAATCTAGCAGTCACTGCTTCTCTCCTCTTTCTCTCCAAGTCCACTACTATACATATATGGGGTGTGTACCAGAAATTTCACTGGCATAAATAACTAGTTATGTGGAAAAATCTCTCAAACAATGCAGATACCCAAACAGTATGCAATGTATAGGCTTAGAGAGTTGCCTAAGGCAGCTGAGAAATTAAGTGACTTGCCCAGGGCCACACAGCCAATAGGTATCAAAGGCAGGACTTAACACCAGGTCTTCTAGACTCCAAAGCCAATTATCTATCTAGTGTGCAAGGCTGCTTCCCGGTATGCATACGCATACACACACACATCATAAAACTAGACTCAATTATACAAATTATACAAATGCAAGAGCTATCTTTGCTCTGGAGGACCCAAAATGGTTTTTAATGACTCTTTGCTTACACTGGGAGCCACAGATCCTATTTCCTTATCAAAAAGTTCAGGAAGGACTTGCATTTAAGAGGTAGGAGTCTGAGAACAAGAAGCAATGCTGAACAGGTATCGAAACATATGGCTCTCCTTTCTGTAAAGAGGTGGGAGAGGACAGGTAAAGAATGTGGGGGGTGGGGGGAAGGAGCAGCTAGATGGTACAATGGATAGAGCACCGGCCCTGGAGTCAGGAGGACCTGAGTTCAAATCTGGCCTCAGACATATAACACTCAATAGCTGTGTGACTCTGGGCAAGTCACTTGACCCCAATTGCCTCACAAAAAAAGGGGGGGAGGGGAAGCATAGATGCTATTGGGGGAGGAGAACATATCAGAATATGCTTATAGAGGTTAAAAAGAAAATCCTGAAGTAAGCAGATTCAGCCCATTTGTATAGCCAAGCTCAAACTATTCAACTGGCAAATATTAGAGGAATAAGGAAACCACAGGGCAAATGGTTACAATGAAAGCAATGAGAATACTAGAAAAGAAAAAAGCAAAGCACATTCTACTTCTCACCTAAGTCGTGAGTCAAATATTCCAGTTTTCTTCAGCAACTTTTTGGTCCCAAAGCAATTCCATTTGCTTAAGTATGAATTCCTTAAAAGTAGGGACTGGTTTTTGAATGGATGAAATTAGATATTTGTAAACCTTAAAGCACCATATAAATGCTAGTTATTATGTTATACAATGATATTTAATAGGAACATCATTATTACTATAATTATTATTAGTTCACCATTCTTTGTATCTCCAGTGCTTAGCATAGGGCCTAGCACACAGAAGGCATAACATAAATGCTTCTTGACTTAGAATTTCCTGCTACTGATGAAGAACATGACTTTGTAACTTAGCTTCAGAAAGCTGCCTGGGTACTGAAAAGTTAACTGATGGACCCGCAGTCATATATACACACACAGACACACACTCACAGGCTAGACTTGAACTCTGGTCTTTCTGACTCCGGGGCTACCACTCTACTCACAATGCCACACTGACAAAAGAATTACTACTTTAAAAATTATCAGCGTGTGTGCAAAGAAAAAAAAAATTTCCAGACACTTTCTCTACCTTGGCTACAGGCAAATCAGGAGGAGATTTATAGGGTACCTGTATTCTTTTGAAGAGCATATGCGTTCTTCCTATTCTGCATCATTTTGTATTCATTCCCGTCTTTCCGGGTCCTCCGTTGCCTTGCCTCCGATGCATCCCTGAAGAACAAAAACAAAAGGGGGTGTTGGGGAAAGGGAAGAGACAGAGATATGGCTAGAAGCCCATGCGAAGCAGCGAGTCTCGCCCACAAGCCCCACGCGCTACGTCAGCAGGCTTAGGCAAAGGTGGGTAGTACCTACAAGGCCAGGTCGTTCTGGGCCTCCGCCAGTCTCGTCCTCCTAGCGTGATTCTTCCCTTTGTAGTGAGCCCGGGCCACAGCAAGGGAGCTAAAGGAAGCGTCGCAGAGCTTACAGTAATCATTCTCCGTGGCCCTGATCACTCTGCTGCCTGGCTTGGAGATGTCCACCTGCTGACAGAGAAGCAACACGGGGACACAGCATCAACTGACAGAGAACTCACAAAGAAGCTGGGTCCTTCGGCTGAGACCAGATGGCAAAATCTATGCGTGATCTTATGGTCCCAAGTGGCGCAGCCAAGATTCGAACCCAGATCCGTCAACTCCAACCACAGCACTCTCGCCACACTACCTAAGAAAGAGGTCTTTAATATCTCTCTATGCCCCCTGGGGAGTACCCCAGGATTCTCTGCTCCCTCCCTAGGAAGTCTGGAGAAGTGTGACAGCTCAGCACAAGCTTCAAGACAAAAGGAATAAGCATCTTTTATTCTCACTGCTAGGAGGTCTTGGCTCTTGAAGGGAAGAAGATAATTTTTGAGTTGTGATTTTGTGTTACAACAACCCTTCACCTATATTTAAATATGTGAATGGCTGACTACCCTCTGCACTATGGAAGTAAGAAAAAGAATTAAAATTATGGTTGAGTAGAGACTGAGATCAGATATCAGCTAAAGCTTTGAAAATAAGTCCTAAGAAACCTTACCAGGAAAAAAAATTAAATAAATCTCACCCCAGAATTAACTGTGTGTGGGGGGGGGAGGAGGGTACACCAGAGGCAGCTAGGTGGTGCAGTGGATAGAGCACCTGGCCTAGAGTCAGGAAGACCTGAGTTCAAGTATAGCCTCAGATACTTACTAGCTGTGTGACCCTGGGCAAGTCACTTAACCCTGTTTGCCTCGGTTTCCTCATCTGTAAAACGAGCTGGAGAAGAAAATAGCAAACCACTCCAGCATTTCTGCCAAGAAAATCCCCAAATGAGGTCATGAAAAGTCCAACAAGACTGAAACAACTGAATAAAGAGCAGAGGGTAAGCAAACATGAAGGTAGAACAAGTACAGTTTAAGCCTAAGATTTCACCCATGAGCTACCAATGTGGAAGTCCTCTCTACCAATGAGGATCGGTAGCTTATCTGTAACTCATGGTCTGTAAGAGCGTCTGGAGCACTGAGGGGTAAAGTAACTTGTCCAGGGTCACACAACAATATGAAACAAAGGCAGTACTTGAAGCTACTCCAAAGCCAGCCCCTCTATCCACTACATTGTGTCATCTCTCACAATCAGTGACCAAACAAATATTTTCTAAATGCCTATTGCATACAAGACCCTATCATCTATACCCCAAGGAGGTCAATGAAAATAAGAACAGCCCCATATAAGCAAAAATATTCATATCAGAAATATCTGTGCTACCAAAAATAAAGTATATGCCCAACAACTAGGGAAGAGATAAACAAATAGCAGTACATGAACATCACAAAATCTTACTGTGCCATAAGAAGCAATGAAACTGAGGAATTGAGAGAAGTCTGAAGAGACACGGGAACTGTTACAAAGTGAAATTAAGTAGAGAATGAGGAAAACAACACACACACACACACACACACACACACACACGACTACAAAAATGTAAATGAAAACAACAAAATCATGAAGCTATGCTGATGGGTCCACTACAAATGTTACATAATTTCAACTGGGCTCTCACTTTGGCAAGGCAATCATTTCTTCATCTTCTTAGGCAATTCACTGTCACTCACTATGCTGGCTTTACCAAACCTTTTCATCCCTCTTCAAACCTACCTTGGCTCTCCCTTTTCCCACCCACTCAAATCCAGACAATGATTTGCATTTCACTGAAAAGATTGAGGCCTTTTACTGACAGCTCTCTCTTCTGCCCTCCTCTTCATCTCACATCACTCAGATGCCTTCTGCCACTCTCTTCACTCTATCCTGTCTCAATGAAGTTATTCCAGTCCTGCCTCCATCATTAGTAGCTATGTTATCTTGGCCAAGTGACTTAAACATTTCAGCCTCCATTTCCTCTTCTGTAAAATGGAAACACTTGCCAAACTGACCTCAGGGCTTTCTGAGGACCAAAAAGAGGTGAAACCTATAAAAGAACAATCCAAAAGTAAGGTACATCTTATTTTCTTTCCAAGGCAAATCCCTCTAACAGGCTCAAGGGATCCCATTCCATTTTGTTTTCTCCAGCAGACTGTCTCCTCTGTCATCCCCATTCTCTCATTTATCACCAATTTCTCCCTAAGGGATGCTTCCCTATTGCCTACAAACATGTGCATGTCTCTCTCATTCTCCAAAAACCCTATGGTCTTACTTCTCACCTTCATTTTGTAGCTAAACTGTTTGAGAAGGCCATGCATAACCATTTCCTTTCCTCTCTCTCTTACTTTGCTTAAACTTGGCTTCTTCTCACATCAGTCAGCTGAAACTACTCCCTCCAAAGTTACCAATGATCTCTTGTCACATCCAATGGGCTTTTCTCAATGCTTATCCTTCTTGACCTCTCTGTAGCCTTTGACACTGTTGATTTATTGGGAGATTCTCTCTTCTCTAGTTTATTAGGACACTGCTCTCTCCTGGCTCTCCTTCTGCCTGACTGCTCCTTCTCAGTCTCCTTTGCTGGGTTCTTCATCAAGGTCATGCCCACTAACCATGAGGATGCCACAAGGCTCTGCCCTGGGCCTTCTTCTGTTCTCCCACTATTTCACATGGTGATTTCATCAGCTCCCATGGTTTCAATTTTCATCTCTATGAAGATGATTCTCATATATATTTATCCAACCTTACCCTCTCTCCTAACCTCTGGTCCTGCATCTCCAACTGCCTATTAGACAACTCAAACTGGATATCCCATAGACATCTTAAGCTCAACATGTCCAAAACTGAACTCATCTTCTCCACTCAAAACTCCCCTCTTCCTACTCTCCTATTACCATCTAAAGTACCACCAGTCTCCCAGACTCACAACTTAGGTATCATTCTTGACTCTGGAATAGTCTACTATCTTAATAAATATATAAGAAGCTCCTTATTTGAGAAGACCTGGGTTCAATTATCAGCTTTGCTAATGATGTCAGTGATACCCATACCCATACATATACATACACACACACACACACACACACACACACACCCTTTATTTCTCTGGCCTCCATTTCCTCATCCATAAAATGAGGAAGTTGGATAAGATGACCCCTAGGATTCCTTTCAGCTTCAAATCCATTAACTATGTATGAGTAGAAAAGGTCCTGGGCCAGTCAGAGAGTATGAATGAAAATCTACCAGCACATATCCTGAATGTTACACTGGTACCCTCAAGAAAAAGGAGAGAGGGATGGGTTGGGGGGAAAAAAAGAGGGGCAGACAGAAGAAAAAAAAAGATCTTAGGACATGGACAAGACCACGAGATCCAAAGATGCAGGGGAGAGTTAACTTGCTTTGTTAAATGAGTATCCAATTCACTGGTAACTGGGATCCATCACAATGCATTTGTCTAATAGGATGGATTGTGGAGGTTGGGTTGGGGAAAAGGGGCAGGGGGCGGCACTGAGGGAATCTAGATGGGGAAACTGGTGAGGAGGCTGTAGTATAAGCATAACAGGGGCAGCTAGGTGGCACAGTTGATAGAGCACCGGCCCTGAAGTCAGGAGGAACCGAGTTCACATCCGGTCTCAGACCAAACACATAATACTTACTAGCTGTGTGACCCTGGGCAAGTCACTTAACCCCAATTGCCTAAAAATTAAAAAAAATTTTAAAATTAAAATAAAATAAAAATAAAATAAAGTATGAGCAGAGCAAACAAAGCCCTGGATGTGAGAGTAAGAAGAGTTATTATTCCAAACCTGCTACCACCACTTAGTGATGGGATCTTGGTCAAGTGACTTGAACATTTCAGCCTCAGTTTCCTTCTCTGTAAAATGGGAAACACCTGCCAAAGTGACCTCAGGACCAAAAGAGGTATAAACTATAAAAGGCCATTCCAAATGTGAGGGACTGTAGCTTGCTCAGCATGTGGCACCATGCCATATCTTGAATTCAGGAAGAGCTCCTTTCTCTCATTCCTCCAGCATGAATGAGCTAGGTACAAGGAAATGAGGCCCAAATCAGGGGGGTGGCAGTGGAGATAGGAAAGGAGGGGCTGTTGATATGTTTCTGGAAAACTGACAAGCCTTGGTAATGATTCTGGGGTCATTATGGGGGCCAGAGAAGACAAAGATGGTCCCATGGTTTCCAATCTAGGTGGCTTGGAGGATGATGGTGTAATTAGCCAAGTTCGGAAGAATGGTTTGAGGTTGGATAAAATCAATTAGGAGAACCTTACAAACTCTACTGAGATCCTTCTGCACCTCAGGCGTTTCCTCTTACTATTTCAGGAAAGCTATACTAAGGCAGTTCCATTCAGATCTGCCCACTGCTCTTCAGCCATGTTGGATACATTTTGAGTAATTGCCATTTAATATAGAGACATGTTCTTCACAGAAGAATGGAATTCGAGTTAAAAGGGATGTCAGTGGTGACTAGTCCAACCCATCCCCCAAAGGCAACCCCCCCCATACCAACTGACAAGTGGATAAGTCTGTGTCCTATGTCAGCTAAACAACATGCAAGCAGCAGCAGCACCTGCTCTGACATTCTGGAGGAATCCACTGTCTACTTGGGACATCTCTAAGGTGAAAATCATTTAACTCAACCAGCTAACCTCTAAAGGTGCCATCTTGACTCAAGGTCCTCTCTTGACTCATGATTCTGCAGCCTGTTTCTCATATTTCCTAAGAAACTCATGAAATTTAGCAGTTCATTTTTATAACAGTTCATAATGTTGCTGGTTCGGGAGGTACTGTTTCATTTTAGGGAAGAAGGAAAAGAAAAATAGTGTAGGTGGCTAGTATTTATTTCTACTTTACAATCTACAAATCGAAGTGGAAACAGAATTTTTCCTCCACCCCCCCCAAAAAAACAGGAGCTATTTCACTCTGTCTTGTACCCCCCAGATCCTGGCACAGCACCTAGCACAAAGGAGGCACTTAATAAATGATTTCAGATCGATTGATTGTCTGATAGATGTTTTTATCCAACAGTCTATATGATGAATCCAAGGCACATGAAGGAACAGATTCCTACTGTCTTGTCCAATTCTCAGATTTACACCCCTTGAGCTATTCTTCAAAGATCTCTGAATTTTGGCTCAGAAATGAATTTGTATTTTTGTTCAAGTTTTTCACTTGATACTGGATTCCAGAAAGAGCTTAAATCAGGCATCCTGCTAGGTAGCCAGGAAAAGGGATTATTTGTGATGGAATGAGGTCCTCTGATTGCACATTCAGGAATAGCCTAGAAATCATTCCTTCCTCTCAGTCTGGTAGACTGGATTCACTTAACCTAGAAGATGGAAGATTACACAGAGACAGACTCCCATTAACTATATTGTCATCACATCTGAGTCACACTCAATGTTAAATCTCCACTATCATGGCTAGCAGAACTTTGTGTCCATCAAACCCAGGCCCTTGAATGAAGAGGAAGAGACAGGACTACATTTCAGGAGCATTTGACCTATCTAATAATGGGTCTGGGGGAAAAAATTAAACAGCTCTCATTCCAGACTATCCATTAATCTTCTAGCTCCCATCTGTCATAAAACATCTGCCAAGAATGTTCCTCATTGAGTAAGACAAGAAGATTTTGTTTCTAAGACAGGTGAGAACTTTCTGACCAACATCTCTTCCCACCTTACCTGGGGGGAAGCTGTCACAACAGGAGGGGGGACGGGCTCCACTACATGGCTCATTCTGGTAGAGGGTGGACAGCAACTCGCTGCATAGTAATTCCGGAGTTTCTTACTATGATTTTTACCCTAGAAACAGAGTGGCATAAGTCATTGTCACCAGGAAAGTTTTCAGTCATGTGATTCTATTTTTTTTTAAGCAACATTCATTCATTTGTTCACCCAGCATAGATTATGCATCAGGTGCTATGCTGGATACAAAGGATAAAAGTGAAGTACTCCATGAACCCAAATACTTTTTCATCTGGGGAGATACAATGTATACCAAGATAAGTGGAATACAAAATATATACAAATACAAAATATACAAAAAGTAAATACAAAGTAATTTCATGTAGTGAAGGAACTTTAGATATCATCTAGTCCCAGGATCCTTAACTCTTATGCATGAGAGACCCCTTGGCAGAGTCAGTCTGGTGAAGCCTGCGGGCCTCTCCTTAGAACAATGGTTTTATATGCACAAAATAAAATACATAGAAATAAACAACCAAAAAAAACCCCACAGAAGTCAATGTTTCAAAATTTAAAAGAATAAGCATGGCTCTGGGGAGCTAGGTGGCGCAATGGATAGAGCTCTAGCCTTGGGGTAGGGAAGACCCGAGTTCAGATCCAGCCTCTGACATTTGACACTTACTAGCTGTGTGACCTTGGGCAAGTCACTTAACCCTGATTACCACACCAAAAAGAGAAAAAAAAAGAAGCAGCGTGGCTCAAAGGAACAGATATGAAAAGATGCCTCCACCCCATCCTTCAGCAGAAACATTGTAGGTTGCACATATTTGCAGTCTTTTTCAATGTATTGATCAGTTATGTTGATTTTTTTTCTTTTTATTTTCTTTAAAAAAAACTATTTGTAATATGGGATAGCTCTCTTGGAGGGGAGAGATAGAGGAAATTATGGTGATGTGAAAAAAACTAAAGATGTTTTTAAAAGCTTATTTTTGAATATAAATAAAATACATAAGATTGCAAAGGATGACAATTATATTGCAAGAGTTATCAAAAAAAAACCCCACTTTAATAATCCCTGATCTAAACTAATACCCTCATTTCACAGATAAGGAAACTGAGTCTCAGAGAAGGGAAGTGACTTACCCAAGGTCACATAGGTAATAGCAGGAGTGGGATTTGTACCCATTGAATTCATCTATAAATATTTCATAATTTCAGCACTACCCCCTCCCTCCCACAAAAAAAGTCACCTCACTGAACTCCATACAGATTCTAGCATGACAACTGGTTAATTCCTAATCTAAAAGTAGCCAAGTACTTTCCTTATCATTGTTCAATCATTTCAGTTGTGTTCTACTCATTGTGCCTTCAATTGGGGTTTTCTTGGCAGAGACACTAGAGGAGTTTTCCATTTCCTTCTCCAGCTCATTTTATAGATGAAGAAACTGAGATAAACAGGGTTAAGTGACTAGCCCAAGGTCACCCAGCTAGAAAGTGTCTGAAGCTGAATTTTAACTCAGGTCTTCTTGACTCCAGATCCAGCACTCTATCTACTGCACCACTGATAAAACAGAAAAGATGCCAGAGAGGAGGTGTTCCAGCAAAACCAGGAGAAATAAAATTTGTAAAACTCTGAAAATATACTGGGTTTCCCCAAGATCTCTGTATTTTCTCTAACTTGATTATGATTAGGAGTTACTGCCTGGATAGGAGCTAAATGCTCTCTAGTTCTCTCTAGTGGTTTCAGAGGATTTCAGAGTAACCTTGAAAGGCTCCCGAAGGCCATCTGTTCTCATTTTACAGATGAGGGAACTGAGGCCCAGAGACAAGAAAGGACGGTTACATAGGGGTGGGGATCTGTCCTTAGGTCCTGCAACTCCAAATCAACTGCTCTATACAATGTAGCATGCTGTTATTGGGCCAGATAATCCAAAGTAATTGATATTTGGCCAGAGGATAAAGCCATCTGACTTCTAGACTGTGTTTTGCTTACACTATCATCCCACTCTGTCAGTGTTCCTCTAACACATGCACCAATGGTTAGCGTAAGAAAGGATACAAAGCAGTGTGAAGGAGAAGAGAGAAGCCTGAGAGAGATTTTTTTTAATTGTTTCAGATAATGCAAGGTGAAAAAACAAAGGGGGATACAGGATTGCCTCAAACGTGCTATTTAAATTATTAAAATCTAAGAATGAATAAGAGGTTTCAGTCTAGATTGAAAGTCTGGGGAGCAAGATTAAGGAGTCCACTATCAGCAGGACTTAAACACTACTGACTTCTTCTATTTGAGGAGCACTTCAATTAGCAATTTCCTATTATTTGTTGTTTGTTTGCTTACTCTTTTCAACAGTGTGTAAAATGAAGAGTGCTAGATTTGAGAATTAGGAGAAACCTAGGTTCAAATCCCACCACTGACACTTTCATTTATCCATTCCACAAGCATTTATTAAACTCTTACTTCGTACCAGGAACTGTGATACATATTGAAATACAAAGACAAAAGAAAAAATCCCAACACTTGAGGAACTGAGACTCTCTTGGATTTAACCAGCTGTGTGACCTTGAGCAAATCACTTCACATCTCTGAGCCTGTTTTCCTCTTCTGTAAAATATCTACCCTCTAAGAGGCAGCATAGGGATGATAATCCCTAAAAATCTATCTCCTAAGAAGGATAGAGGGCTGGCCTTGAAGTCACAAACATCTGGTTCTGTCACATACTGATTGTGTTTGTGCCTTCTCCAGCCCTAGCAGACATCCCTCTAGGACTAAATTACCAACGTATCACAGTTCAACACTGACAAAGGGAGTTTCTACACCAGGAGTTCCCTACTGTCAATGAAATCCCAAGGGGGGGGATTTTTTTTCAAGTATCTACCTCCCCAGCTTTTTGTTGGAATCCAATGGAATAAGGCCTCTCAAGTGAGTGGTAACCTTTCAAGCTATTAACAGCAGCAGCAAGGGATGTTGTTAACCCTACAGAATATTTTTTTAGCACTTGATTTAGCCACCAAATCTTTGCACTTCAGGAATATGGTCTTTCCACTGTATAATGATCTCATATTATCTCACATTTCTAGAGTGTTTTAAGGTTTACAAGGCACTTCTCCTACAACCACTTAATAAAGGATGGAACATAAGCATTCTCTCCCTCTCCACCACCCTTCCCTTCCCCCCCCCCCGCCCCCAATCAGTCCTTGACTTTAAGGAGCTCACATTCTTTTAAATCAGGAAACTTAGACACAGATGCTGTGACTAGCCAAGGTTCACATAAGTAATGGGTGACTGAGCCAGGATTCAAACTCATGCCCTTGAGCCCTTCCCTCCCCCAGAGGTCAACAGTAGCACTCTGTGACTATAACTCTGATTTTATCAATTCAACAACCCAGACAAAAAGCAAAATCAGTGCTAAATATGAACTTTGACCTCTCCTGCTTCCACTGCAGGACTACTACAGTTTTGTTTGTTTTTTTTAAAGGGATTGGTTTGTTTCTTTTTAGCATTGCTGGACACCCCCCCGGTCCTGCCTTGCTTCCATGGCAGTGGGTGAAGTTTGGGTACATCAGAGGTGGCCCACCTCAGGTGCCCTAGGAGAAGGCTATTAGAGAGAGCCCATGTTTTCCAAACTTTTGTGATTTGGTATTAAAAAGCAAATGTCAAAAGCCTGATTTTATATTCAAGCAGAATTTTTAATCTAGAGATAGAACTTAGCTGCCTTCTGATAGACACTTGCTACATTAAATATCATTACTTCTAAAGCTGTTTTCCCCTGAATACTGGTTTTTCTTTTCTTCCTTCCCTTGAATACCAGATAACAGCAGTGGTGGGTTCTTACCTAATGACCAAACATAAATATTAATATGTGGTGCAGTAGATAGAGTGTCAGGCCTGGAGTCAGACATTTACTAGGTGTGTTACCCTGGGCAAGCCTCAGTTTCCTCATCTGTAAAATGAGCTGGAGAAGGAAATGGCAAACCACTCCAGTATCTTTGCCAAGAAAACCTTAAATAGGGTCATGAAGAGTCAGACACGACTAAAATGACTGAATATAAATATTAATCCACATTTAAGAAAACAGAGAAGATACTTTAAAAGAAATTGTGTCCTCTCCAGCTTACTATGAATGACAGCATATCAATATCTCAACTTGCTCTTGTCAGTAACAAATACGACAAGAATGCTGGCTTTGGAGTCATAAGGCTTGGATTCAAATCCAGCTACTTACTAGTTGTATAACTTTGAACAAGTCACTCCACCTTCCCTGGACCTGTTTCATAGTCTGTAAAATTAGAAGATTGGACTCGGTGACCCCTCAAATTCCTTTGCAACCTTAAATCTATGATCAGTATGGCACTGTTCATTGACCTGGGATCAAATCCTGCCTGACACTTAGTTGCTGTGTGATAATGACACTACTTAACATCTCTGGGCCTCTGTTTCATTATCTGTTTAAAAAAAGAGAGAGAGCTAAACTGAGATTGTTGAGGTCATTCCAGCTCTAAACCTGTAATCCAGTATCAGAAATGTGAGGCTCATATCAGACTGCTTGCCTTCTTGGGGGAGGGAGAGAGAAAAAAATTTGGAACTCAATATTTTATAAAGAGAATGTTGAAAACTATCTTTACATGTAATTGGAAAAACTAAAATACTATTAAGTGGGAAGGGGGAAGAAATGTAAGGTTCTCAACATGATTCTTGGGGTTTTCCCCCTAATTTGGATTCAAATTCCCTCTTCAGAGCATCTTCTCTCTACACCCTGGACATTTCTGCTGATAAGACAGTGTTGTCGTACAGCACACCAGGCTTGCCCCTAAGGAGCAGCTGCCTGCAGATAGATGCTAATAAAAACGAAGGCATGGTTTGTCTCCAGTGATTTGATTTTTAAATTAAGTTACAACCAAAGCCATGATTTTGTAGCTATAAATATAAATGACCTCATTTAAAAATAAAACCACCTAGAAGCATTTGGGGGCTGGCTGACCAGTACAAGAATCCCTGAAACAAGGTAAAAGCTGCTCCTAACTTTATGCAAACTCCAGAGCAGCCACCAGATCTGGCCCATCCTAGGAAGCATGAAAATGTTCCAGAAGTGCTTACTAAATGCTCCAGATTATGGAAA